CCMAAWYCCCCCCSGSYKSCCCCTCCTGTCAGRGAGTTGTGCAGAGCCASAAGGTCCCCCGTGATCCCCTTTTTTTCCCAGTTTTTTTCCCCTTTCCCACCTCCCTCATCCATTCCTGGTCCTCCAAACCCTTCCCCAGCTCCATTCCCTTCCCTGAGGAGTCCAAAACTGAATCCAGGATTTGAGGTGGAGCCTCAGAAGTGCCCAGCACAGGGGGTTGGTCACTGCCCTGGTCCTGCTGGCCACACCATTCCTGTCACAGTCCAGGTGCCATTGGCTTTTGCCCACTGGACACACCTGATCTCATGTTCATCCCCTGTTGACCATCACCTCCAGGTCCTTTTCCATTGGACAGATTTCCAACCCCCCCTGCCCCCAGACTGGAGTGTAATTTTCCGGGAATATTCTCCACCATTCTCTTTTATGGGATAAAAAACGCAGGAAGAGTATGGAAATACAAAAGATGCACTTCAGCACCTCTCCTTTATATTTTGGGTACTACCTCAAGCTTTGATGGCAACTCCCTCTTTGATGGACACCCCCACCAGTGCAAATTCCTGCTGTCTATGGTGACTGATGCTAGGTCACCTCCTACCTGGGAGAAAATGGGTTAAGAATGGCCAAATTGGTGCCCAAAACCCACACAACAACATTACAGCAGCACCTGATTCACAAATCATAGAGGAACATTCGAATTAAAAACCCAAAAGACGTTTTGCCCCACTCCTGGATGATTTCCCTGCCCTCTCCTCGGGGTGGATAAAGCAGCCATGGACTTTTTAGGGTCACAACCACACCAGGAGCAAAGCATTGCTGTGTCTCAGGCCAATCTTACAAATGGGTTTGTGGCTCAGCTTTCAGAGTTGTGATCAACCATTAATTATTCACAGTGGCCTTCATAAATATTGCACAGGCTGTTCACAGCACAACTCCAGGCTATTCACCGTTTCCTTGCTGGTGGCAGGGGGTGGAAAATGCAAAGAGGGACTTGTGGGTCGGTGATAGGCTGGAGGGTGACAATGAGGGAAAGAGGACAGSGAATTTTCTGTGTCTTTCTAGGAGTTTGCCTGCTTTTCTCAGCTCCCCAGCCCTTTCTTTCCTCCAGCATCTCCTGCACGCAGGTTTTTCACAGAGAAAAACCATCAGAGCTGGGTTTAAACTGACCCCACAAAGCTGGTCATGACCTTGGTTCCCATTTCATTCCTTCTGGGAAAAGGGCAAGAGCAAGATGTGACTCTCACAGAGTTTGTGCTCTTGGGTTTCCTTCCTAGAGGTTCAATGGTAGCAACAAGAGGGGAAAAACGAAAGGAATGGATGGGAAATGCTCTCCTAGGATGAGGATTTTARGAGCAGACCCAGAAGAAATGTAGAGTAGCCCACAGCACCTGCACTGAAACACAATATTTTCATCTAATAATAAAGGCAAAGTTTCYTCAGCACCTGAATTGAGAAGTGCATGTAATATTTTTTTCATTGAAAGACTGGGGCAATAATCACAGCAAGAAAATGAATAACCGTAAAAAAAAAAAATTCATTTAGATCATCATAAATTTCATTTCAGCTTTGTTTCCCCTCTTGGCTTATTGTACTTTCTAATGCAATTTGCATTTTTTGATCACAGATGAGTTTAAAACAAGCRAGCAGCTATTTGAATTTAAAAGTTCTGGTTAGAAAGGTGGAGAAGAACTGTTCTGGCATCTCTAAACTAAGCCACCTTTCCTAAAACACTGAAATGAAATACTCTGTTGAGTCCAAACCATCATCTCTTCCAATCCTTGCAGGACAAGGGGAGGCTGAGCCTAYTGGCCAACTTTGACCAAGTTTTCCTTCAAACCTTTATAAAAGCAATTTTCCAGAAGATTTGCTATGAGTCAGGAAGAGACATTTATCTCCCAGGTGATGCCCTTCCTTGGTTTTCAAACATCTTCTTTCCCTTCAAGCTGCCACGCACCGCTGCAGGAGGCCAGGGCACGCTGAGATTCCTGCAACAGCATCTCTGCCTTCCTGGCAGGAAAATCCAAAAAAAAACACAGCTCCCACTGTGAAAGCACTGGACACAGGAGAGGGAATATGATGGGCAGGCTGGAGACTGTCTGTATTTTTGGGATTTTTTTTTTTTTTGTCTAGCACAAAGGGATGGAGGTATTCAGCAGAGAAAACCCTGTCGGCTTTGCGTTCGTGCCCTGGCAGCAGGGAAGGCGGCAAGCGGAGGGAAAAGCTGTCACAGATGGACACGGATGATCAAAACCAGACAGCAATTCCAGGAGTAGCAAAGGTGACACGTTGAAGTGTAATGTCCTGGAAAGAGCCCTTCTGGCTGCCTGGTAGGGGCTTTCTCTCAAGGTGTTTCTCTGCCCCCGCCACCGCAACACCTGAGTGGCACCGGAAAATGTGGAGAACAGAGAAATTTCTGTAGCTCGAGGGGGGGAAATCCAAGACATTTGCATTCATTACAAGTTTCCCTTTACCTTAAAGGAATGCTCAGGCATGTGAATAATTTCAGAAGAGTCCCATTCCCTTGCAGGAGTCGAGAGCTTTTGATRGGAACAAAGGGACCCTCTCATCTCAAACCTGCACAGATCTGCACTGATCAAGGCCAGACAATGCTTGCATGTCCCCAGCAAGGGGCCTTAGAGGAATAATCAGGTCTCTTGGACAGGGAAAACCATCAGAAAGGAGGAAAAAAGCCCAAGTGGAGTCTACAACATGTGTTTGCACGTGGACTGAAGCTGAAGCTTGCAGGTGTCTCTTGTTTCATCATGGAGCATCCAAAACAGCTGCCCACCAGCACTGAGCCCCAGTCACATCCTACAGCTCACCAGCAGCCTGAGCTAGATCCTGATCCCAGTGCTCCTGGCATGGATGGGSTGAATTAAAACCTGGGGGAATCCAAGAGTGAGCAGGAAGAAACCCCACCAAGAGCATCACACTCCTGCTGACAAAGATCTTGGGTGGTGACGAGTAGTGACAACACCCAAGATTCTTCTGGAGGACACTGGTGGCTCTCCAGCCATAGAGGTGCAGGCACCAGGAGCATCACATCCAAGAAAAATAAGATACTAGGGAAGTTTTTCCCTATTTTAGTTCATTTTTTTGTCTTTCCTGTACAGCATTTTTAACTATTAATGAGAATTTTCTGTACTAATTTGGACCGCGGCKGCATGGAACTGTAACTGGACTAATAATCTGGGCTATTATTAGATTGTTAAAACTTTAATTAGACCRGCTATTTTTGCTGGGAACAAGATGTTGAAAGAAAATGGAATGAACAATTTGGTGTGCTTGGAACAGCTCGGAGGCTCAAGGTGGTGAAGGACGATGGACAGAGGCAACAAAAGGGATCAAAACCAAGGAGTTCAGGGAAAAATAAGATTTTTTTTTCCAGGACTTACCATGAAGTAGTAGAGCTGTGAAGACCTGGCCATGAACTCTGGCTTGCACTCGGCCACACAGATTTCCACAAATCCAGCGTGCTGGCTGGGCTTGGCTTCCCCCATCTCACACACGATCCTGGGGGAAAACACCAACCAGGAGCAGGGTTTGAAAAATGGAATTGGAGCAAAGAGCCCACAGTGCTGGGGGATGGACTGTAGATTAACCCACCCATGCAAAATCCAAATTGTGGRCTAAGTTATCCCTTAGAAAGTGGTGGCTTCTGGCTGGGACAAACGCTGAGGTGGTGTAAATCTGCACAGTGTCACTTCAATGCACAGAGAAATGCTGGGCTGGGGTCTGGCTCCACCCCTCTGGACTCCAGCCTGGCATGGTGGAGGCAGCTTTAAAGTTTAGCAAGAAACTTTTCAGGATTGCTCCCTTCCAAACTGGAATTGAACACCTTGGGGTGAGTTCTTGGTGAAAAACAGAGAAAATTCAGGGAATATGCCACAAGGATGACCTAAACATGCAATCCAAGCAGGCTAATAAATGGATTATTGAATAAATGGATTATCCTGAGCTGTACATGAGGAATGTCATCAGTTCCCAGGTTGGAATGGATTCCTTGGAAAGCCCTAAAGGTAGGAATGTCATTAGGTGTGCTGTGGCCTTCTCTCTGCCACACACCCAACTTACTGCTCGGCTGGGATGTACCCCTCCACCAGTGGTTTGCACTCCACGCCGGCCACTTTGACGTGGGACGCGATGTCCCGGAATTCCAGCCCCAGGTTCTCCCCACGGATGGTCACTCTGGTCCCTCCCTCACGAGGGCCCGTCACGGGGTTGATCTGCAGAAAGAAAACAAGAGAAAAGGGAAAATCAAACYAGGCACCAGAATCCTCTCAGCTGAAAGAACAGACAAATTTTTGGGATCACTACAGATGCGCATGATAAATGGGAATAAACCTATTCCTGATACTCAGAGTATGCAAAATTCTCTCCCAGACCTCATTTACTCTATTTTAACTGCTTGCAGAACATCCAGAGATGAGTAGAAGATGTTTTCTAGGCAGGAGGAGGGATTTGTGGTGCTGCAGCTGAGCTCTGCCCTTTGTAGGCACGACCCACAGAAAGGCAGGAGAGGGACACAGTGGAGAGAAATGGGAGAAAGAGCAAAACAAGGATGTAAGGGTTGAAATCCTAAATTCCCAGCCCAGAGCACATGGAGGTTTTGACCTCTTCTGGAGGCAGGTAAAGGTCATGCATCAGAAACTCAGCTGAAATGTCCACCTGGAATAAACCCAGGCAGGCYACAGCAGGAACAGGGTGCCAGGTTAGGTGTGGAGTGGGTGGATGGTGCCTGAGACAGCAGCAGCAGCTGCTCTGTGCCAACACCTCTTCCTGAAAGAGCTCCAGCATCTCTCAGAGCAGAGCTGGAATCATTGGGAGGGCAGGCAGGGAGCAGGGAAAGGTCATTTGTGGAGCCTCTGAGCCCCAGCATGAGGTGAGTGACCATTCCTGGGATGCTGGAATGCTGTTTGTAATCCCAGCCTGGTCCTGAATCAAACCCTCACAGACCTTGCTCCAYCACCCTTGTCCAGAGCCAGGTGGGAATCAGCCCTGGAACTGTCTCMTGAGCTTTGGAACARCACCAGAATCACAGAGCTGGACTTWAATTATCCCCATTCTGCCCTTCCAGCTCCTCACTGTGCCCACTTTGCCTGTTTGAAAGGGGTTCAAATGCTGTCCTTGCCAGGTGCTCCCCTCTGCCCTCTCAGGATGCCCTGGCTGCCATCTGCCAGTGCTGGCACGGCTCTCTCTGCACCAGGAAAAGGGAATTCCCTTTTTCAGGTCYGTACCCACCGGCCCATGGCTCTGCCAAGTGGGAATCTGGGGCTGGCAGYGATGCCCTGGAGGAGCAGTTGGGCTGGCAGGGAGAGGTGAGGCACTGGTGTGAGCAGAGCTGCTCCCGACTGCTTCCCAGCACTGAGCCTGGTGCAATTCCCAAAAAAAGGGGCAATTTTTAGAA